CCTGTCTGACCCACTCTGCATCAAAAACAAGGTGGCTCCCTGCGGTTTATTTTTTTAGCCAGACTTGAAGCCCAAGTTGACTCTCCTCTCTAAAACAGGAACTGGGAGGTCTGCCCAAGGCCCCAAAGGAATAGATTCATTTCTTTCTGGTCCTCCAGCAATCCTTTCCATCATTACCAATTTAGAGAAAGGCCTCAGAAAGGTATGCTTTCCTTGGCGAGTGGCCATCGGAAGAGTGCATGTACCATGGACTCAGTTCGAGAGCAATAAGCACTTGCTCAAGACTTCAGGATGTTCTTAAACATGTATTTCCTTTGATCTCTCAGATCAGGATCTTCTTATCTTGAAGAATGAAAACTGATTCATGCTCTCATTAGCGCTGTTACTTGCCTCTATTAGCTACAAGAGATTGGTCGAGTTCAGTGGTTCTCAACCTGGGGCCATTTTGCCCCTCTCCAGGAGATAACTGGTAATATCTGGATATATTTCAGCTGTCATAATTGATGTTGGGTGCTATTAGCATCTAGTGAGTAGAAATCAGGAATGTTACTAAACCACCTACAATGTAGGACATACACACTCCATGCACACAATAAGGAATTCCACACCGTTGCCATTGAGTCAATTCAGTACTGCCCCATAGGGTTTCCAAGGCTGTAAATCTTTACAGAAGCAGACTGCCACATCTTTCTCCTCTGTAGCCGCTATTGGGATTGAACTGCCAACCTTTTCGTTGACAGCACAGCACTTAGACACTGTGCCATGAAGGCTCCTATCTGGGCCAAAAATGTCAATAGTGCTGAGGCTGAGAAACCCCAGATGGATGATTTCTTCAACTATAAAATGGGTATAGTAATATCTCCCTTGAAGAAGTTTTTGTAAGAGTTAAACATCATAAAGCATATATGGATCTAGCCCTATGCCTGACCCAAAGTAGGTACTCAGTAGATTATCAGTCCCTTTCTCTTTCTTGTTCTCACATTCATAAGATAGATTTTTTTTTTCTTGGATAATGTCTGTTGTACATGAACAAAGGCTATAATTTGACATTAAGATGAAGACCGAGAAGGGTTTATAAGGAGTTATGATATGGGATCTCTAATGCTTATGTCAACTGTATAGAGAGTTAAATGGCTGGGGATACTATGAGCCATTACCATAACAATAGAAAAGGGTATCCTGTACAAAGTTAGTGCACCAAGCAACGTTAAATTCTTCCCAGATTTCCAGGGCCAAAAACTGAATCACTTCCAGATTGGCCCCAGACTTCACCAACAATTTCAGATCAGATAAGGTCCACACTATAGATAAAAAGACAGCAGTTTCATTTTCAAAAGCTCTCTGCTTTGAAAGCAATCTGGGATTGTACTATCTGATGACTCTATTACTGCTGAGCCAACCCAATGTGCAGAAAGAAACTGTGATTTATAGGCAGTCTAATTAGTAATAACAGGATAATGTGCTTCTTTCCCACATCTTTGGCATGCATCTGGGTATAGGTGGGGTTAAAGTATATGAGATACTCAACGCAGTTCTCATTATTGGTTAGAAATACTGTAATTCTGATTCATGAACACTGTGTATGGTCCCAAGACTGTGGCTTAAGGATGTCTCTTACAGCAGTCACTATATTAGCAATGATCAAATTTCTTCTATGATAGCATTTATCAACTGGCCATAAGAGCTGTGATCTTTGATTAATGTAGTTAAATTAAAATTGTAGTCTTTAACCATATGTTTGACAGATGAACCTACTCTGTATTCAAGAATGTCTGGTGAATTAGTGGACACAACATATGCCTGGATCCTACTTTACCCAGGAAGCTTTCCTTTCATTTTATGATTCTAGGTCACAGAGACCACTCTCTTCTCGGAACAACTGTAGCATCTACTTTCTCTATTGCTTCTCCTGGAATGTGATGATTTACTCCCACCTGATTTATTTATTTAAGGAGCTCTGGTGGTGCAGTGGGTAAGGCATTTGGTTGCTAATCAAAAGGCTGGTAGTTGGAACCCACCAGCCGCTCCATGGGAGAAAGATGAGACAGTCTGTGTCTGTAAAGAATACAGCCTTCCCTATGGAGGTCACTATTGGAGTTGACTCCATGGCACAGAGGGGTTTTTTTTTTTGGTTTTTAGTTTGTTATTATCTAATGTGCATATGTCTTACCTCTCTACTATAACTTTTGGTTCCTCTTCTATTTTCTTTTTTTGATATTTGCATATTCAAAGAATATAATAACTTCACATATAAACATGGGCTTCCATGGCTAAAATATTTGAAAGGTATCTTATGCAAACTCTATTTTAGCAAAACACAATTCATTTCCAATCGCACAGCAGTAACTCCTGGGAATACACACTGCCTTTTCTACTCTCTCAAACAGTTCAGGAAATCAGATTATCAAGCAAAAGACAAGCTTAACGTTTGATTTTTTTGAGTAGGCAAGATTTCAAAACTAATCAATTTAAATCGATAACATTCCCACACTGCTGAGGGCTCTGGAAGAACACAAAGCCATGTGTACAAAGCCAAATTAATTACCTAAGAGAAAACATCTGAAGATATGAGCAGCCATCCAGGGAAGTGGGGAAGTAAATGATTCAGTGAAGGGTTTTGGAAACTCGGTCAACAGTCTGAATTTTCAGAATTTTTTTATTGAACTCAGCGTGAAATGCCTAATTTACTTTAATTACTTGATAACTCTGAGATTATAACATTAGCAATGATCTTTTACAATGGATTTTATATATAATATGTGGAAAAAATAAGATATTCTGACAATTAATCATATATCCATGGGAAACAGTACTTAGCCAAAAGAGACTTGGCAATTTATATTGGATATATTCCAGTTTCTATTGAGGCCATTGGCAGATTCTAAATAGCCAATAAGTTGAAGTGCTTCTAAGAAAAAAGTGGAAGAAACACATCTTAGAAACAATGATTTCCAATGTTGAGGCTGTGACTGTTGGTCCCTGTTAGGTAACTTTAATATCTGAGCTACATGGCTCCTACAGTCCTATTTTTAAATAAGTGAACCAAAATTAATTTAATTTGTACACAATTTTTTGAGAATTGAGATATTTTGAGAATATCACAATTGTAGACATTCATTAGTAACTGAAAATGAGGCCTGCATTTAAACTAACAGATTTAAATTGTGTGATTATAAACTATTTATTTTGCATTTATTTGGTATTTCTAGGATTTGGGGAGCTTTGAGAGTGTGTGGGAGATGGTAGTAGTTAAGGAAAACAAATCTCTCTTACTGACATGCCAGCCAAGAATAAATTTGTTATTTAACCTTGGGATGAGAGAAATGGAACAACATCTGAAATCCTATCTAAGGTAAGGACTATGTGTTTCACATCATTAAACTGATTAGTTTCACATTACTTCCAAAACAATAAGTGGAAGTTTAAAATTTCCTCTTTCAATGAGAGGAAGGACCCCTGGTCCTTGCTCAATGCTGTGTGAAACATGGAACCTAAAATATTTGTGTTCAAGATGAGAAAATATAGATCTTTCTATGTTTGTTGAACTGATACAATATTAAACCATTTAGCTATTCCTTGAGATTTAGAAAGGCTTTATTAAACTATTCAACAATGACATTCTTAAAAAATTCAGAATGGTTTATTCTACAGCTTGCCAATATTATATTTTAAATGTTTTGTTTCATAATAAAATGAAAAATTTAAAATCAGCAATGGAGAAGATTGGTTTGGAGGAAGCAGCTTCAGGCCAAGAGAAAGCATGGACAGCCTGAATTATTTATGTCTGTTTTCTCCTGGTAAAGGTTTGTGGCTGGTGCAGACAGTTTACACTTGACTACTAACTAAAAGGTTGGTGGTTCTAATCCACCCAGTGGTGCCACAGGAGAAAGGCCTGGCAATCTGCTTCTGCAGAGATTACAGCCATGAAAATGCTATGGAGTGGTTCTACTCCATGCAATGGGTTTGTTCTTCATTTTACTCTTTTGGTGTTATATCTTTATACAGCTTAGTGAGAGGTAGAATAAAATTTTACATCTTCCATTCCAGTCTCAAGTGGATCAACAGTGTGTTCTAATTCAAGGCATAGGTTGTGTCATAGTTGGTGACTGGCAAGGAAGAGAGTAGCACAAATCTAATGACACATCTTCTCTCTCACCAGACTTTTCACCTGGACTTTCACATGCCACAGCTTTTTCTGTGTCATGATAAACATGGATCTTGCCTCATGACTCCAATAGGTAATTTTGAAACTGAGAGATTAAAACTCTCATCCTTCTTGGATCAGTTATACGATACTGCCTCCTGAATCAGATGTTTCCCTGCCAGAATTCTCTGAAGATGTTTAGCCAATGCTGAATTGAAGTGGTTCAAGTCTATGATTAGGAATATAAAGTTATAAACAAGTCATGCTGAAATATATAATATGAAAAAGTAAGATATAATATAACTGAATAAGTCTACTTTGTTGTATTTCGATGAGTGGATTTTTTGTTAAAATCAAAATGAATCACATTAGAAAACATAAACTTGCTTTTAGGTGTGTAGAGATGGTCACGGATAGAAACATTCAGGAAACATCTAATTTGAATGGACAGTTCTCAAGTTCAATAGAAACTTTTGTTTATAAATAATGCCGAGTTTTGTTCTTACACGTCAATTCCAAAAAAGGCTATTAACTCACAATTTTTTTTGACAATATACTTGTTCATCCTAATGTCAAAAGAGAAAAACCAAACCCCATTTCTACGTCAATTACCACTAATGATTACAATCATTGGAATATAGCTATTAAAACTTGATTAATGTGCTTTAATATTCCTCAGAAATAACTTTAAGCCTGATTTTGCTTCTTTTGTATTGCTCTGGGGAAAAAATTAAAACAACAATAAAGTCTTAATATGAATTATTATTAGGTTACTTTTAAAGTGTTACTTTCTAACTATTTTCATGGTGATGTCAATTCAAAAGCAATACTTACTACTGAAATCTTGGTTACTTACCTTTTGTCCTTTTACTCCATGACAGTCACATTTTCCACAGCCAGAGCCACCACAATCACCCTGGAAGTAAGAGAAAAAGTATTTAAATAGGAGGCACTTTTCAAATTGAGGTCAATATTTCAATTAAAATTATTTCAGCATCTTTGCCTCTTTAAGAGATAATTACAACTCAGTTATTATGAGCACAATCTCAAAAAACATAATTCATGCAACTCTAATTTTGGTATCTGGAATCTGTGTTAATGTAGCTGTCATGTTTTTGTCTTTATGGTCCATCTCTTGCCTTAACAGACAAAGCAACACTTAAAGAAAACAAAGTGCAGAGTTACTCAGTCCAAAGAATGAAGGTATCACCTACGCTTTATACTTTTTTCAATTTCTATTAGCAAATGAATCGCCAAGGTATTGTTTTTAATAGAACATCATATAGATTTGTAGGGAGCTCTGGTGGCGTAGTGCCTAAGGCATTTGACTGCTAACCAGAAAACTGCTGGTTCAAACCTACCAGCTACTCCTCAGAAGGAAGATTGGGCAACCTACTTCCGTAGAGATACTGCCTTGGAAACGCAAGGAGGGGTCACTATGAGTCAGAATCGACTCAATGGCAGTAAGTTTGTTTGTTTGTTTGTTTTTAAATAGATTTGAAGGTCATGAAAATGGCTTGCTTCTGATTTGAGTTTCAGACCTAAGACCAAGTGAGGCTAAAAGATGCTGGATGGCAGACCCATGCTTTTTCACATCACATCCCCAGGGTCCCGCACAGTGCCTAGAATATGCTGTTGTTAGCCACCTCTGAGTCAGCCCCAGGTCATGGTGACTCCACGCACAATGGAACAGAACTCCACTCGGTCCTGTGCCATCCCCATGATCAGCTGTGGTTTGGACCATTGTGATCCATAGGGTTTTCATTGGCTGATATTTGGAAGCAGATCACCAGGACTTACTTTCCAGTCCGGCTTAACCAAGAAGCTACACTGAAACATGCAAACCTCCACTGATAGACAGATGGTGGTTATACGTGAGTTACATAGGCCAGTGACCCCCATAGCTTTCCAAGGCGGTAAATCTTTATGGAAGTAGATTGACCCATCTTCCTTACACAGAGTGGCTGGTGGGTTTGAACCATCAACCTTCTAGTTAGCAGTCTAACGCTTCAAACACTGCACCAATCTTAAAAATACAACCATGCTATTAAAAGTACACCTACTCCTCACTTATCAACTGTCTTATTATTCAACACTCGTATTTATCACAGTAGAAAAAAATCTACTATCCAACTATTTTGCACATTAACAACATATGCCTAGCAATAATGAACATCAAAGTACAAGGTGAGAGTAACACTGGCTGTGATGGTTAAAGTTATATGTCAACTTGGCTGAGCCTTGATTCTCAGTGGTTCGGCAGTTAATTATGTAATTTGGTAGTTATGTAATGATGTAAGGAGCCCTGGTGGCATAGTGGATAAGTCATCTTCCATTTTGTGATCTGATGTGGTCATCTCCCATTTTTGCATAACACTGATTTTTTTATTTGGTGGGGGCGAGGCATAATAGCCTGATCTTTAGAACGTAATCATGTCGATAAGTGAGGAGTGACTATAATGTGATATGTGAAGTTCATATTTTTAACAATAGCTTTAAGTCTTAGCTCCACTGCCACAGTGATTTTCTGCATTAAACAACTACATCTGGAGATATTTATTTTATAAAGTTAAATCTGAACAAGTGCCTCCAAGACAGTAAGCTGTTCTTAATTTTATATGTTGGAAATGGGGACACTTGACAATAGGCCAAACAGACACCAGAGATTGCCGACCTGTTTCTTTCTCTGATTCACATTATTAGCCATTTTCAGCATACACTATTAGAAACTCCCAACATTTTAAATCAATCCATGTGCACAGTTTTCTTTCATAGGCTAGGTTTTGATGACCAACCGCTCAAAGTCTTCCAAGAGATAAGGACAAAATCTTTAAACTGTGCTCCAGAAGGTTCATCCAGAGACATGAAACATTGTGCCTAACTCAAATATCACCATTTCTTGTCTAATCCTCAGCTGAGGACTGAATCCTCCTGGTTTTGGGTTCCCATAAGATGCCTGGGGGAACATCTGAGATGGGAAAATAAAGAACTAAAAACTCTGCCCTTCACCCTTCCTCAACTAGCTTATCGTGTACATCAAGGGGAAAAAATTCCAACAAAAGGTATTTATTATTAATTCTGGGCCTGAGAAGGAGCTCTGGTGGTGCAGTGGTTAAAACATTCAGCTGCTAACCAAAAGGCTGGTGTTTCAAAACCACCAGCCACTCAGTGGGAAAAAGATGAGGCAATCTGCTTCTGTAAAGATTTGCAGCCTTGGAAACTCTATAGGGCAGTTCTACTCTGTCGTACAGAATTGCTATGCATTGGGATTGACTCAATGGATGTGGGTTTGGTTTGGTTTTGGGCCACAACTGTATGACCAATTTTGAACCCAGAAACCGAGTCCAAAAGTTTTATAATTATAAAATCTAAATTTTGCTAATCTTTTTGGAACATAAAGGCTATGATTTATATTTTGTATTATAGGTGGCCTAATATCTAATGTCCACTATCAATCTGTCATTTTCCCATACTGTTGTAGCTTGTGTGTTGTTGTGATGCTGGAAACTATGCTAGCAGAGTCATCCATGCTGGGCAGATTTCAGCAGTGTTTCTAGACTAAGATAGACTAGGAAGAAAGACCTGGAAATTCACTTCAGAAAATGAGCCAATGAAAGCCTTATGGGTCACAACAGAATACTGTTCAAAATAGTGCTGGAACATGGTAGAAGACCAGAGGACCAGGTAACATTTTGCTCTACTATACAAAAGGAAGGAGCTCTGGTGGCATAGCGCTTAAGGCACTTCACTGCTAACCAGAAGGCTGGCGGTTCAAACCCACCAGCCACTCCTCAGAAGGAAAGTTGGGGAATCTACTTCTGTAAGGATACTGCCTCGAAAACCCAAGGAGGGGTTCCTATGAGTAGGGTTCAAATTGAAGGCAGTAAGCTTCGTTTTGGTTATACATAAGGTTGCCATGAGTTGGACCCACTTTGAAGGCAACTAACACTAAAAACAATATCTTACACAAATGCCTCTACTAAAACAAAATAAAATACAAGTCTAATTTTTAGATAACAAACAAAAATTATGAGATGCATGTTAACTTTGCTAAATAAAATCTATTTTGAAATACCGGTCTCTTAAGTCCTTTACAATTGCTCTTATAATGGTCTTTGCTTGACCCCCACCCCCACCAACATATAGAGATCTTTTAATTGTGATTCAAGGGTACATTGTTAAAAAGAATATAATTGGTGCTCTGAATATCCCTTTTATTCTGGTCAATACATGATTTTGAAATAGCTAATTAAAATAAGAGTCCTAAGGAATGAAAATCTCAACCCCTCTACTCTAAATTACTTTAGTTGAAAGGGGCATATAGCCGATGTGGGTTAATTAGATTGATAATTTCTTTGGTAGCTCAACATGTTAAAGTCTATGTCATAAATTTATGATTTCCTGAGGAACTACACTTGACATCTGAACCTCTCAGTAGTCTAAAGATATGCACAGTCTCATAGAATCAAACGGATCCCTATTGGCTACACATCTGAGGACTCTATGAGGGCTGTTTATTCTTCCAGATGTCTGGAATATATTGGCTCCATCAACCAGCTGCCATCCCATGTGTTTCAGATTCTAGAACAGGAATAACTTGTACATTTTGTGCAGTTCTTGTACACTTCCTTCCATGCTCTTCTCCTCAGTGGAGATCTAGCATCAGGTGAACCAGCTAAAAGCCCTCAGAACAGTGACTATGCTTTCTTCCCTTGAGGTACATACTTAACCCAAACGGTCCATGACTGACAAATGCCAGTCATGAAGACAAGCTCCATGTGAAGGACAAGGAATGTGGTTGGAAGATCCCATAGGACAGAAAGTTGTGGGTCTCAGACTCTCTCATAAGAAGTAGACCATCCATGGCCAACAGCAATGTGCATAACCCAGACCAATGGGAAGGAAAAAAAAAAAAACCTACAAAGACCTCAGGGGTGAAAATCTTCATAACCCCAATACTATAGTAAAACTTTATGAATACCATGAATTTTGAAAATCCTTTTACTTTCTTTCTATTAGACCATACAGCCCAAAATCTGACCATAATAAGTTTCCTTCTAATAGAAGCTGTACTGAATTAATTGTGGTTGAAACAAGTAGATATATATAAATTCCCAACGAAGTCTGGCTGACATACATGAACACTTTGTAACTTCAATAGCAGGGATCAACTTAAAATTCAAACAAAAACACAATTTGAAAAGAATGTTGAAGATATAACAAAGTATAGTTGATCCTTGAATAATGCAGAGGTTTGGAGCACTGCCCCCACGAAGTCAAAAAATCCTTGTATAACTTTTGACTCCCCCAAAACTTAATTACTAATAGCCTACTGTTGACCTTAAGTCTTACTGATAACATAAACTGTCCAAATGATAAACCTGACAGCATTTTCACAAAACAGTAGAGCCAGCCTATCCCTTCTTGCCTTAAATCCCAGCACTTGGTTCTCTTCCTTCCTAATAAATGCCCTTTGTGATTTGTCCCCCACCCCCAAAACAGGACTCTTTCATGTGCATTAACAACTTGTCCAGGCAGGTGTGATTGTTCCTCCATGATTCTCTAGTGAAGTCTGGGAACTTGTCTGCTGCCTCTTGGTCAGCAGAAGATACTTTTCCTGTTAACTTGACACTTTTAAAGCCAAAGCTCTTTCTAAAATATCAAACCGTCCTTTGTTGGCACCATATTTTCCAGCTTTAAATCTTTCACCTTCTTTTGCTTTAAGTTGTCATATAATGACTTTGGTTTTTCTCAAATCATATTATTATAGCAATCCTGCACCCATATAAAAGCTGCATTTTCAATACAAGATAAAAAGTTATTTTGCAGAAAGTACAAGGCTTTCATGACTGCTGGTGTGACTGCAGCAATGGCTTCACAAATTTTCTTTTCTTTCTTTACAATGAGATTAATTTA